GGATGTTATCTCTGGGTTGTGAGAAATTCAGAGCTGGTTGTGTAGCGTGCGGTACAGTTAAACTACCAGAAGTAAATCTTGACAGTTTCGATGTTTCAAGTTAATATTACAAACGTGTCTCTGATGATACACAATTTAAATAACATTAGTATCATTTGAAATTAAATATGTCTGCTAATTACTTATTTGCTTTATTAACCCACTTAAAAATTTTATTATTAAAGTAGAAGCAGTTTTCATGAAAGAAGCAGACATCAAATACGCTTGATAATATATGTCGACGTCAATTCAGTAACATACGCAGTACAGTGACAGTAATAGTAATATATATCTCATTGCATCAAATATGTTATTTACTGTGACTTTGATGAAATTTTTATGAGTGATAACTTTTATATTTTTCATGTCATGCATAAACTTTATCATTAATATTTTTGAGATTTGTTATTTTTTTAATTTAATGAAGTGTCAAATTTTTGAATAAAAATTAAATTAATAAAAAAATGAAATGTGTTTTAATAATCGATTTTCTGTAAGATTATTAAGCCTGAAGCTTGTTGAAACTAGTTAATATTTTATGTTCAGTGATTAAATTTTTAGTTAGTTAAGATTTTGATTGCTGATTAAACAGGACTAATCGACTTTCAGAAAGAGATGACGGAAGGCAAACTTGGCCGTAGAGAAGGAAAGAAGATCTTGCAAGTAGGAGCAACAGCGAGGGAGAAATTTCAATTTTCTAGAACTATATTTGCCCACTAAATCTCGATGATGCGTTTTCTTGTTGTTGGCATTACTGACTCGCGATACTAAGATCAACAATCTTCAAAGTTAATATTAGTAAACATCTGCATTAAGTACTCTCAAAATCAATCATGTGTCATTTTCAATTTATTAAGGTAGATTTACAATTTTTCTATTCAAATTCTCTTTAGCCAATTAAATATCACCTGAATTGATTAAAAATCCAATTAAGATATATTAATAATTCGCGAAAAAAATTAAATAAGAAGTAATAATGAATTTATGAAAAATAATAATCTACATCTAATAAATACTATTTCTAACAGGTAATTCATGATATTTATCATTCATATCAACTAATTATCAAATTGTCTAACTCTATTTTAGAGAAACTTCCATTTGTACAAAAAAACAATCAGTTCAAAATTTATTATCACTTTTAAAAACAATTTAATATCTAATAGAGGTATAATATTTTGGTTTGGATCATTCAAATACTTTATAATTGGATTATTGCTACATCAAAATTAAAAAAAATTACTTTAAAAAATAAATAATTATATATAAGAAAATGATATTTCTAATAATAATAAAATCTATATAAAAGTCAAAAAAATTAAAGCATAATAAATAATAATTTAAACTTCAATGTTTATCATGTTGCACGTAAAAAATTATTATATAGTATGTAAAAAATATCAAGAAAGGTTAATAAATTTTTATGATGTAAATTTAATATTTTATGTAACCAACGTCAATATTTACAAGGTAAAATAGTGAGTTTTAAATCATTTTTTTCAATATTAAATTATGATTGTTGGCTTTGATACTTTTTCACATTATGTCTCGTGATATTTTATATTATGTCACTCTGGAGTCCAATTTATCATTTGAGGCAATAAAAATTACCTAAAATCCAATTAAATTTTACTAGTTAGTTTTTTTTGTGTAATTACTCTGCCAGCGGCTTTTCAACACAAAAGTAGTAAAGAAAGGTAGTTTTAAAGTTTAATTAGAAAAGATAATCATAAATTTTTTCAAAGTATCAGTACAGATATACCATGTTATTGGCATTTATTTAACACTATTAAAGAATTCCAGAACAAAATGAAACTAAGCTAAAAATGATAAACTTGTAAGCTTGTAAGAAAGTTATTTAATCTATCATAGCAGTATCTCGAGGTTCGAAGAGAGTTTCGATAAAAATTTCAATTAAGTATCGACAGTTGAGAATTTAAAATGTCCGATAAGCTCGATGGATACTGATGCGCTGGATTAAAAAAATGTATATGTGTATTGATAAAAAAGGAAAAATAATAAGCAGTAACTAATAATAATAATAAAGAAATAATAGTAAACGGAAGAGGTGAGATAAATGAAAAAATGGAGAGTTAAAGTCACTGGACTTGACAGTTTGGTAGAGGAAAGATAGAAAACACGATAGCCAGGTAAAAACTGTCGCCGCCAATTTGCAGGAAAATTGGATTAAACCGTTTAGAGAAGCTCGATAAATTTGCACTTGTATATTTGCCAACGGATGCCAGCCTCCACTTCGGAGGCGGAGAAAACGGAAAGCGTAAACGGTAACGGCAGTTTGAAAAAACCGGAGGTAAAAAATGCGGACCAAGATGCGGACTTTAATTTTATATCTGTTTAACGAAGATTGTAAAAATGAATAGGGAAGGGGGCTTTTTTTGAGCTGAAGAATTTTTTATTTTGCTTCAATATCATGCTGGTATTTGATGAAGTGCACGGGAAGAAATTTCTGGGAAAATTTACGATACAACTATTGTAAAGCTGGACTATACCTTTATTACTATTAATTATCAAATATTTTAGAAGAAAAAATACTATTTATTAATGAAAAAATACGATATTACTATTGTAAAAAGTAAGAGATGAAAATTTCCAGTGCTGCCTCTGTATCTTTCCAATAGAACTATAGCAAATTTTACAATAGTTGAATTGGAATGTCTCTCAATTAGTGTGGGTGATGGCCGTGCACAGCGCTAGACTCTGAGTTTATATAAATGTTAAAGGACGTGGGTCTTAGTTTACCGCTGATAGCCTAAAGGGAGAGTCTCTGGCTACCAACACAGAGTTCTGGGTTCGATTCCCAGATAGCACGAATATATTTGTTTCTTTTTTCGATTACTGTACAGGTACCAATTTGTGCAACCTTCTATCTCTCTCCCTCCCTAATATTTCTTTTAAAAAAACCAACTGTGAATTTTTACAATAGTTGAATTGTAAAGTTCACAAACACATATTGTATAATTTGCTCTATAGTATTCGACTTTTTAAAACTCTTGTTAGTCTTATTTGTTGAATAAAATTTACAATAGTAGATCGTAAAAATTACTAAATGAGAAGTATAGTCCACCGTTACTATTTTATTTAGTAAAAATTACAATAGTAAAATAGTAATAACTCCTTCAATTTTCTTCCCGTGTGGGTGACGATATGCAAGCGACATTAAAATTTTTATACCCGAGGGTTTTTGAATTTTTTTTTATTGGGTACATATTTTTGATGGAATAAAAAAATTCTGAGGAATTTTTTATAAATATCGATTGAATACGAATTTAAAAAAATAGAAGTATTTTTGCAAATATATTGAATATAGGTCAACTAAAATCAAAATCATTTATTTAAATTCGTCTCAATACTCGAATTTGCGATGAATATTTAGTAAAAATCTCAAAAATTAATTGAGAAAGGCTTCAAAAATTTTTTTTTGAAAAACCTTCCAATAAATCCATCAAATCAATCCTCCAAAAACCCAAATTTTATTTACCAAATAAAGATTTAAAAGTTTGCAAAGCCAAATAAATAAAAAAGTATCTTTATTTCATCATACACAACACCAAATAACTCTAGACCTACTATCTTAAGATGAAATCGTCTCGGGAATGTCGACGAGGTCTCAACTTGTTTGGGTTTTCTTTTATTATTTTTCTCCAGCTTTTTTTCTTTTTTTATTCCCAACTTCGAAACGATTCATTCACGTACCGCATACTCTTTATCTTTACTCTATTCACTCTCTTCTTTCCTTCCGTCTTATTCTTTTTCTTCTTTTTCATCTTTACCTTATTGTAGGTACCTCCTCGCTTTACGTTCGGCATGTCAGTGTCTGGCCAATTGAGTTAATTCCACACAATCAAGTTGGGAAAAGTTAACTTCAAAAAAGCCATTCAGCCATCTTTCCTCGGTGTTTAAGTGCTCTAAAAATGCTTCACTAGATAGAAATTTGAATCAATTACAACTTTTTAAGATAATTCACTAAGTTCAAACATAATTGTTAGAACCCACATGCATTTTTGATATATTTTTCATATATACATGTATATAATATATATTTTAAAGATATAAGCTCATCCCGATGTTGCACTTATCAAGAGCTTTCATTTGAGTACCCACATGCATATTTGATATATTTTTCATATATACATATATATAATATATATAAATATATGAAAAATTGATGTGGGTACTTAAATGAAAGGTCTTGATGAGTGTTACATCGGGATGAGCTTATATCTTTAAAAATGTCAATAATTTCCGAGATACAAGGTTATTTTTTAATTATGTTTCTAGAGATAGAGCATTTTCGAATGCAGCTTAAATACTTATCATCATAAATTGACTATTGGTGAGAATGATATGAAACCTTGAAAAGGCACAACTCCAGGTCAAGACCTTTCCAAAGATACCAAATTTACCCATAAAACCCATTTTATCATATAAATACACTGACCACAAAAATTTTGCTTATTCTTTTTAATTAACATTAGATTAAATTTCGAAATGAACTTTAATCAAGAATATTAAACTGATTAATTTTCCCCAAGCTGTCAACCAATCTATTCACTAATATTCCATTCGTAATTCAACATTCAATATCATTTCAACCAGAAATTATCACCTTGTCAACAAAATGTCATCGACATTTATCCGCCGTGAGGCCAGTGCTCTCGAGCATGTTAAAGTTGCAGCCACCACCAGCAAACAGCCAACTAATCAAGCAACAGTGCAATTGCATTCGCGATAACTCAAGGCTCCACTTAGACTATAGTTATCGCTATAAGTAACGCAAAAACAAGTTAAGTAGCCTGCAATCAAGAATGATTGCATTCAACTAGACTGCAGCTGTTTCCATGGTTAGTATCCTCATTGCCATTCGCTAGCGAGCATTGCATCACTCTCGAGCAGCGCAATTGAAATACTTCATCATCTAATACACCATAATATAAAATAAAATGTTCCAACCGAGTGATAAAGAAGAGATCAAAAAATGGGTAGAGGACAATGTCATCCCGGAAGTGGCACAGAAACTCCATAAAAATTACTCAAAATCTGACACTATTCTGAATATTTCCTACCCTGAAGGTTTTTTACTCCTTTCTACTGTAATTTTCGCGGAGGTGTGCTTTAAGAATTCAAATTTAGATGAGAAAGACGAAGTAGTGCAATTAGTGATAAAGCGACCTTCATTATTAGATTCATTTAACAACATGATGCATTTGGACGCGTTGTTCCACAATGAGATCCTGTTCTACGAAAAGTTTTCACAAAGTGACAGTGTGAACGAAAGTGAGTTTCCGCGATGTTTTTTTACCACTGAAGACCTTAAAAATCCCGCGAGAATGATAATAGTGATTGAAAACATCGTAAATCTGGGCTACAAAATGTGTTTAAAAAGTTACGACATACCTTTCGAGTACGTAATTGCAGCGATGCAAGCGATAGGACGTTTTCACGGAATGAGTTATGCAATGAAGGTGCGTCAGCCGGAAAAATTCGCGGAAATAGTTGGCAATCTTATGGAGTATCGCTATTCCCCTGGAGAAACCTTCGGAATGTTCATAAATTTGGTGTCTGTAAGACCTGTCGAGTACTTGCGGAAAAAGAACTATGATCCGGTTTTTCTTGACAAAATGGAGGGTTTTCTTTCCAATGCGTTTAATAATGTAATGTTGGAAGCGGTAACCCCCAAAGAACCTCTTGCGACGCTGTGCCACGGTGACTTCACCAGAAGCAACATTTTCTTCCGCGAAAAAAATGGCAGTTTGGAAACTATGTTAATTGATTTCGCGATGCTCAGATATTCCTCACCGAGCATTGATGTTTCTACCTTTTTATACTTGAATTGCTCGACCAAGGACAGGAATGAGCGATTCCCAGAGATTTTCAAGGCTTACTACAACGCTGTTATTGGTTACCTGAAGGAGCAGAGGATTGAAGATTTGGAAAACTATTCAGAGAAGAATTTCATGGAAGATTACAAGCGTCACGCGATGTTTGGGTTTGTTATTGCGATGTTTTTCTTGCCGGTGATTCGCGGAATGTCTAAAGTCACTCCTGAGGAGGTTAAAGAGTTTGATAATGTGAAAATGGCGATGAAGACCAAGGAAGCGGGTGGTGATGCTTTTTCAGAAGAATTGGCGGACATTCTGGTGGACATGCGGAACCGCGGGTATTTGGAGCACGTACTGCAAGTTTAGGATGAAAAATGCTGTCAGTTGATGGTGATGCACTCAATATTTTTTTGGGTCGTTCGGAAAATGATAGATGGCACTTTTTTCGGAATATTCGTGTCACGTCGATTATTGGTGACAGACGCAACTAACGGACCAGAAAAGGAGAGATGGTTGCCGCTTACGTGACTACGTTAATATTAACTTACGTAATATAACCTTCAATGTGTAGTTATATGTGCATGTGTGTCAGTAAGAGATCGCGGAAATTTGAAAACGTCGTATGAAGCGATTGTCTTTGATTAATGATACCAATGTAATTATAGTGTGATTGGTGGCGTAGAACATTAGATGTATAAGGAATTTTCTTGGTTGATTTATACTGTTTTTTTATTTTATTTTAACTTTATGTTGATAAAAAATGTTATAAATTGTAAATAAATGGTTATAAAAATGATTATATCATCTTATCACCTTGTAAGTTGCTTTGTAATTAATTATTACTACTGATTAATATATATTTCGTTTGATGTTTTATTTTTATATGTTTGTTTACTGCTAACGTGGGTATCAAGCAGATAAGTAATTTAATTAATGGATTGTATTTATTTATAAAAGCAATGACTCGGGATTTTTATAAGAATACATGATATCAAAATTTATTTACAACTGATAAATTTATTTGTTTAGAAACAATAAGATGTTTAAGCGACGATAAAAAAATCAATTGCATGTCATTGAAAATATAATCTTCCTATTGAGAACAAGTAAAGATTTAATTTAAAATTTTGAATATTATTGTTGCAAAAATTACAAACAAAAAAAATAATTTAATTAAATTAACAATGGTTAATTTTTCAAGATAATGAGAGTATAAAAATGTTTATTCTAGTGAGAAAATAATAAAAAAGTTAATAAAATAAAATGAGTAAAATGAAATGTGTGTTATAAAAAAAGCCATACAATTTAACCAAAGGACGCATCTGGAGTGAATTGAAGTGTCGGTATAATACCGCTGGATGTATGTACAAAAGATATATAAATGTATTATTCCGTGTATGCATATATAAAAACCTGGAAAAATAACTGAGGGTAGAAATACGACTGTAAAAGAAGAGCTTACGCGTAAAGTTATTCTTTCATCGCGTCGGTATGTATACTATAGATCTGCCTTTCAAATAAGGATTACTCTGCTCAAAAGATATAATAAATTTAACGCTCTTCATACACACACCCCTAGAACTATCTTCAATTACGTTTCATGAATTTAATTAGTGGCTTTCAATATTTTATATTTTCTTACGTAATTACATATGTTGATTTAAATTATATTCAATTATGGATTCTTAAAATTAGTTTTTTAAATTATTCATACTAGTTTTTCAAAGAAATTTTTTAATGATACATTTTATACATTTTATTGCTTTTCAAGAAACATTCTCTATTATTAAACATAATTTCAAACTTGCAACAAAAGTAAAATAGAAAAAAACTTAATAAGTTAGTAAATTAAAAAAAAAAAATATATATATATATAGATTTATAGGAAAAAATCGGAAAATGAATCTTAGGCTTCAATTCCATGAAAAAATTTTCTGAAAAGACCTGATATTTTTATATATGACCGTAAATGTTTACATTTAATTTTAAATATATTCTGATAAGTCTATATGCGCTCTGGTATCAAAATTGGCCATATTAAGCCATACATGCGCATGTTATGACATATATTTATATATCTGGCTATATAAGAATTTTTTTTCACGGACCAAAACTCAAAAAAAAATATTCTACGATTTAATAAAGAGTTTTATTAAGGATAATTCACGATTCATTGAGTTTAATAAGCATTATTGAATAAAATTTCCAAAAAGTTCAAAATCTGTATCTTAAATGAAATTTTTAAAATATAAAAAATTTTCCAGCATATTTTTCTACAGAAAATTTAATTTTTTTCTATCTAACTTTCTATTTAAATTTCTGCGACTGATTATTAATGATCACGTGTTACTTAAGAAGTCTGTCAACTGCAATTAAAAATCAAAAATAAGATAAAAGTAAAAAATAAAAAAAAATCGAGAAATACTGCTCACTGTAAACAGAGATAAAAATAATAACACCGATAACACTTTATCAGATAACATCTGTGCATCGCAAATACATAATTATTATTTGTCTCACCTGGCGTCTATCATCTCGGCAGACCGATATAAATTTACAGTGGTAATAACTTTTTATGCCACATTGTCAATTTCTCATGAAACGCGTGCAAGAGAAAAACAAACGTACAATTATCGTGTTAATATTTAATAAAAAATGACTTCTGCTTCAGAGACTCTAGAGTGGTTGAAGCGAGAAATAATACCAGAAGTGCTTAAAACATTGAACAAAAACAGTGACCAAATTAAATCGATATCCACTTCTAGCAACGATACCTACGCATTATCAGAGGTCAATTTTATAGACATAGTGTTCATCAACTACGAAATGCGTCATTTAGTGATAAAGAGCCCTCCTCTTGTAAAAAACCACCTAGTATAGTTCAATATTAGGCAAATTTATACTAATGAAATCATTTTTTACAAACTTTTTACCAAAAATGGCTTGAAGGGAATTCCCAAATTTTATCATGGCTCTGTTGAAGAGCCAATTGAAAAAAGTGTTATTGTACTCGAGAATGTCACTGAAAAAGGCTTCAAAATGTGCCCTACTGTTTTTGACATGCCTTTTTGGTATGTAATTAGCGCCGTACGCAAACTGGGGTATTTTCATGATACTCATTATGCATTCAAGGAACGCGACTTGGATAAATTTATGAAAATAGTTAACGGTATCAAAGAAGCCTGGTTTGTTGATGGAAATTTTGTGTCTATCCTTTCTCAATCCTTTCCTACCAATTATCCTGTTACGTGAATGTTGGAACGCTTCACGTAATAATTATCCGTAACTCCTATTCTTTCCCGCTTCACAGCATTATTTATATTTGTTATAAAGACAGTTGGAAGCCGACCGGTCGAGTGGCTGCGGAAAATCGACTATGATGATAATTTCTGCAAGAAAATGGAACATCACTTGAGTGACGCATTTAGTACGATAATGCTCGATGCTATAAAACCTGTTGAACTACTAGCTACTTTGTGCCACGGGGATTTCACACGGAGTAATATGCTTTTTCGTAGAGCATGTGGTATTAATGATAATGATAATGATGATGATGATGATGATGATGATGATGGTAAGAAGGAAAAGGAGAAGAGGTTAGAGGTAATGTTAATAGACTTTGGCATGATGAGATACGCGTCCCCATCCATTGACCTTTCGACTTTTCTCTACCTTAGTGTCTCCTCAGAGGACAGGAAAAATAGGTTCGATGAGATATTCCGAGCTTATCACGACGCACTACTGGATTATCTTGGGAAAGCCGGGTTAATTGACCTAGGCCGGTACTCTTCCGAGAAGATGCTCGAGAATTATAAGCGACGGGCTGCTTACGGATTTATTGTTGCATTATACTTTCTGCCCGCTTTGCAAGGGCTCTGTGATGACCCAGATAGAAACAATGAGGCTGCTAGTGCAGTCCCGGATGGGAGAGAGTTGGGATTGATTGCAAAGCTCGCGGGTGGTGATGCTATGTCAGCTCTATTCGGTGATATGTTGCTTGAATTAAGAGACACTGGCTGCTTAGATCATCTTCTTTAATTTTATTACATTGAATATGGATAAGAGGAGTTGTAAAAAATTTTTTTTGTAGAATTTTATTGATGTATATGTGTATAATAGAATAAATAAATCAAGATTTTATTTAGAATGTTAGAATTTTTGGGCGCTAAAAAAAAAGAGAAATAATTTTTATTGTCGTGATAAAACGATTTTTTGATGTATAATGAGCCTTAATTAACAGGTAATAAATTATTTTTTGACATTAGATGATATTTATATAAATATATGAAAAATTGATGTGGGTACTCAAATGAAAGGTCTTAAAGAGTGTAATGTCGAGATGAGCTCATATCTTTAAAAATGTCATTCGTTGACAAGATAGCAAAGTCAGTTCTTAATTAATGACAATTTTCAAGATATAAACTCATCCCGATGTTACACTCATTGAGAGCTTTCATTTGAGTACCTACATGGCATTTTTTATATATTTTATATATATGGTATTTGTGGAATGTATAAATATATAAAATATATAAAAAATTGATGTGGGTACTCAAATGAAAGGTCTCGATGAGTGTAACATCGAGGTGAACTTATATCTTTAAAAATGTCAATAGTTCACGAGATACAAGGTCATTTCTTAATTATGTAGATTTATAATATAGATTATTAGCAATTAATTATACTTAATAAAATAACAAATCGTTTTAAATAAATTATTTTATTAACAATTTTAAATTCTTCGAATATTATTAAAGAATTTTTTTAATGAAAAAATTAATAATTAAAATAAAATCGACTTCCAATAAAATTTTCAATTAGCAATTAAAGAATCTCGATAAAAAGATAATCCCAACTGTAGGTTTCTACAAAAAAAGGTTAGAGTATTATGTAGTTTATATAAAAAAAAATAAATAGCTTGGCATCGTCGACGACAGGCAGTCATTGTCGCAGGTCATGGCCAGTAACCGACAAGAAAAGTAAGTATGCAAATTTAAGAGTACATTTATCTCAGCACCACGCCCATGTATTTCCTGAAAGCTTCCGGACGCATTGTCGGGAAATCGAAAGCACCCTATTCTCCTCTGATCCACTTCCTATTTCTCCCGCTCATACTCGGCCTCCTCTTCCCCCCCCCCCCTATACTCTTCCACAACCACGAACTCGAACCCTCACCCTCTTCCTCTTCTCTTTGCTCTTTCTCCATATTCACCTTGTCCTCTGTATCCACATTCACCGCGAGTTGATGCTGGCTCGCCACGGCGCCATCCTTCCAATCCCCATTCCCGATTCCTCCCCTCCCCCTCTCCCAACTCCCTATCCGATACTCAAGAGATTTATGAGCAAACTAGCCTCGGTCCCCAGGGCTAATAGACCGGCAAGTTATGGGGCAATTCAATTTAATTTCGAGAATAAACAACCATCCTATACTTACGCTATACACAATCAATTTATTCGGTAATTTTTTGAACCATACGTTCCAAAAAAGAACATCTACTCCTTTCATCCTTTCATTTTTATATTATCTTTATAGCTCAATTTTATATTAAACTTCTGCTTGTATTGGGTTTTATTCAAATTTAACCAGCTTTTATCCTTTCAGCATAAATCGTTATCATTAAATCATTACAATCGACATTGAAGGCATCTTTTATTTCATAACCTTATTACAGAATAAAAGAAGCGATTCAATTTATTATAGTTTTTTTTTATTACGATTGTATTTTAATATTTCATTAATATTGAAGATTTAATACCCTATCAAATTTTTCCGTCGTTTACGGATATGTTAATGAAATTTTATTTGCCGGATGTATTAAAATGATTAATTACTGATGAACAGTCTAGTAATTAATAATGCCCTAGTTTCTGGGTAATTTTAATATCGAAGTACAGCTGCATTTTTTGATAAAATTAAGTTATTTATTTTTTTTTATTGCACGACTCATGATGCGAAGCATCAGAGAGTGCTTTACGATCGAAAAATTTTTTTCGCCTCATTTCGGCAACTATTTTTATTATTATAGTCTTGTTAATTCACGGAATCAAGATATTTTGCATACTATTGTCGAGATAATTTAATGGAGATTAATTAGACACTTTTCAAAAATTGATTTAGTGCAATAGAAACGGAAAAAAACATCAAAATAGGTCAAAAATTTTCCTGTCCGTCATGTATGAAACTCCGGAAACACTGTAACTAGCGAAAAAATGCATTAATTAAGTAAAATTTTTTTTTTTTTAATTCTTTGAAAGACTTGTAGGTCACCGAATGCGAATGGCTAGGTAATTCAGTGTCGTTTATGTACAATTAATAAAATTAAACAAAAACCAGAAGACTGTATCTATTTATATTGTGTACATTTATCCCACAAGAGGCGCTTGTACATTATCGCGGTATTTTAGCTGTTTTATATATTTTTTTTCACATTCTTTATTTTATTAATATCTCATAATTAAATGAGCATTATGAGTCGTGCACTTTTGAATTTTTCAAACTTTTTTAATTTGCGACATTCTACTTTCATGCACTGATAGAAGGATTCATTTGTATAAAAAAATATTTGTTAATAATTAACAAATCATTTATTAGAGACCACTTTTTAGTATTAAAAAAATATTTCTTAGTATTTAAAATGATTTGTTTGTATTTAATAAATCTGATTTTAATTTATTAAATATTAATAAATTTTTTTAAATACTAAGAAATATTTGTTAAGGACTAAAAAGTGGTCTCTAATAAATAATTTGTTAAAAATTAACAAATTTTTTATCAATCTGTTAATATCAAATGAACTCAATGTCATGAAAGTTCGTTAGCAAACGATTGAACAACCGAATGATGAGCATTGAAATTCAAATGAAACTCCGAATTTTCCGACCTACTATTCGATTTGTATATAATTTGTGAATTTTTCCTTAATCCGACAATCTATTTATTTGAAAGGCACTAAAGCGGAACGCCGATGTGATTAGTGAGATAAATTAATCGGATTTGAAGTGCGTGATCGTCAGGTAGCTGTATGGTAATTGTGGTGTATGATAATATACTCACTATGCGTATCGATTAATTATTCTGTGGTATTAAATATACACACACTTGCAGCATATACTGACGCATAGATGAGCACCACAATATATTTATGATTGAATATTAGTGGCTATTACAAAGTATGTGTGTATTTAACTGAATAAATGACTGATATATAATAACTCACTTGCACGTCATGTCAGCAAATCACATATTATATACAATATACGGTATAAACACACACATATATGTATACGTATGTTCACGTGCGTTTATGCGAAAAGGCTGACTAGAATATTCATCGAATCATCTCTTGTTTTATTCAATTGCATTTATTAATATCATATTCACGTTCATTAAGCAGACAAACACTAATATTAATTGTTGATTACCGGCTATTTTTCACTCTTCGTTGTTATTTATCATTGTATAAATAACAGTCTAAATTATTATTCATTTATCTCATTAACCATCAATTGAAAGTTCTTCTATATACTATACATTAATTTTTCACCTTTCACGATAATATCGCGTTACAAATGCCAAAAATATTTTTCTCGGCATTTAAATTTGGATAAAAATTGAGCCAGTGTAGAAAAATAACATATTGAATATTTTAAATAATAAAAAGCATTACTTAAAGGTTGCGATAGTAATAATTTATAAAAAATTATCAAAAGATACTTTATATTAGACATTTGACTTTGCTACCATTCCTCAAAAATGATTCGTCACAATTTGTAAAGTATATGTCATACAAATATATGTTCTGAAGAAAAACAAGTTAGTTTTTTTGTCTTTTACCAATATATGGATAAGATCCATCTTCGTTTTACGTAAATGCTAGTCTCTCAGTTCTCGTAAAAGTATAGTTTTCAGTAAAGAATTGATAAGTGAAAATGAGAAGAAAAACCGGGTTATGAAAGCACAGCATTCTATATCTCATCCATAATACCATATCGAGTTTTAATCCGATCTTTCTATTTCTCATCTATCTTACTGATCGTCTAAAATGAAAAAAATGACATTCATTCCATTTTACAAGCTAATCTCACCTAAATTTTATATTACACTGTAAGAAATTGACATTGGGAGTAGAGAATTTTTGATTAAACTCTTCCAGAGTAATTTTCTACAAATTATTGAGGTTTTTTTATGAAAATAATTGTATTTATATTATTAATTAATAGATTAACTTATTATTATTTGTAAATAATTTGCGTATGAATATTGTTTTTTGAAAAAAAAATTCTCAATTTTTCACAATGTCTATAATTTGGGATAAAATTAAAAAAAAAAATAGCTTCGCACAAACAATTATTAACTTTTATTGTCATGATCGTTGTCAATAATTTATCAAAGGTAACTAACTATATCGACCTTTGCTATACAGCAATAAAAGTCCATTTGAAAAAGTCCGGCAAATATATTTTTAATCCCTCCATACTCTCCATTTTATTTGTTTATTTTTTTTCAATCGAAGTCTATACATCTCTTTTGCGATCGCGTGAGTGAACTTTCGTGTCCAATAGTATATGTTTTTCGCACAAGTGCAGCGATTCGTTTCAACGGTATATAACAATGCACATTTGTATATCTATACAATGTAGACCGGGTAGAGTAGCTAACAATTCAGTATACAGCACACGCAATACGTGAATGTTTTGTATGTCAGCAATACTTTGCTTTGTACTCTATAGGTTAGTCTGGGGCTTAGCACAGTATAGCGCTGAAAAAGAGTAGGAAGGAAGTGCAAAAAAAGTCAGGTAACATGCGACTCGTGCCTTGGGTTTTTAGATTCATTTTAATTCCTATAAATAAATACCAACGTTCATATTTATAAAGTCTTTAGTTTTGTTGTGTTAATCATTAATCATTACACAGATGAAAAGATATTGTTGGCTTTAGAATATTAAGAAAAAAATTATTTTCAACAAATTATTTTATTTTTCATAAATTTTCAGAAAAAATTTTTTAACAGTAAAATTTAACCTGTTTTTCTATCAAA